CCACCAGCCGCCGCACTTGTTCCGGTACGAGCAGACACATTCGCAGCAGCAGCACCACCAGCAGAAGCGCCAGCAGTGGCAGCAGCAGACGCAGAAGTAGAGGTTGTAGCAGCGGATGTAGGGGTAGACGTGGTGAGTCCTTCGAGGTGCTCAAGGGGGTCCCCCGCCACGTGGAGCAGCGACAGCTGCCTCGCCAGCTCACTCGTATCCAGTGCTGGCAGGACCGCTGCAGCGTCCGCCGCTGCTGGTTTTGCGCTCGCTCCTGCCTCCTCCGCCCTCTCCTGCTGCTGCGGCGGCGGCGGTGGGGGCTGCTGCTGCTGCTGATAGTAGCACTCGTGCTGAAACGTCTCCTGCTTCCCCCCGCCATTCGCCGTGGCGGCACCCGCAACGGCGCCTTTCTCGAGTTCGGGGATGATGGTCTGCGGCGGGGCCCACGGCGCAGCAGCTTGCGCCGCTGCCGCCGCGGCGGCGGCTTCCTCCGCCCACCGCCGCGCCTCGAGCAGCTGCTGCTGCTGCTGGTGCAGCATGGACTGCTGCTGCAGCAGCAGCATGAGCATCAGCTGCGACTCGTCGTACTCCATTCCCGGCGGCATTCCAGGCACTCCCGGCATTGCCGGCATTCCCGGCGTCATTCCTGTCATTGCCACCGCGTCTAGTACTCCAGCACCGTCCGACTCGGACGAGCCTGTCATCATCATGACATCTGCAGGGAGTTCCTGCAGCAGCATGCTCAAGTGCGGCGTTTGTCGCGGAGACGAGCCTCGAGGCGCCTCCGCCGCGCGAGCCTCGTGCAGCCTCTCTCCGACGGATGATGTGGTACATTCCGGAACGTCGTTGGATCTGCTGCTGCTGCCGCTGCTGCCGCCGCTGCTGCTGCTGCTACTAATGCCGCCTGAGCTACCACTGGTAGCTGTTGTGCTGGTAGTCGCGCTGCGGATGATCGTCGTCACTGCGTCGGATCCACATCCCGGTGGTTCCGTGTTGGCGCGTGTCATTAACGGCGGGGACGCCGTGCGGGCGGGCAACATCGCCGCCGCCGCCGCCGCCGCCGGCGACGGCGCCGCGTCGTTCGGCGACGAGTTGATGGGCGACGCGTTGGATGTCTCATCGAAGGTGTTCGACGGCACGGGCGATGCCTCGCGCGCCGCGAGAGGACGGCAGCCATTATTAATCCCGTGATGATGTTGCCGCTGATGATCCTTTTTATTCGTCGAGAAGCTGTCTATGTCGGTCAGATGGGACTTCTTCGTTGTCGTCCTCTCCGTCGCCGCGGCTTCCGCTGCCGCCTCTGCCGCTTGGAGCTGGCATTTCCACGCGTACTCGCGGCGCGGCATGAGGTAGTACATGGCGCCGGATTTTAAGCAGCGGTGCGGGTTCACGGGGTTGAAGCGCCGCGCCTCGGCAGCTGCTGTGCATTTCGCGATGGTTCCGCCGTCGCCAGCGGCTGAGGAGACGGTGCTACGAGCGTCTTCGTCGGCGTCGTCGTCGTAGCAGACGCAATCGCAGTCGAAGACGCGGCCACGATCGTCGCCGGGTGGTGCGGGCGAGAGGAATAGGTCGTGGTGCGGATACTCGCGAAGCACGTCGCGCGCGATGAGGAGCGGCTCGTCGAAGAGACGTATGGATCCGTCCGGAAGGCACACGAGGACATGCGAGGTGGCCATGTTGGCGGATGCGGCGCGACGCAGCGCGAGGGAGACGAAGGATTTTTGTGAACTTCAGGTCGCAATGGCGAGCAGCCGAGACAGTGAGAGAGGGAGAGAGTGAGAGAAAGAGAGAGCGAGGGAGAAATGGGACTTCAGAAAAGAGGGAGGAAGTACGGACAGCAGCGGTGCTGCCGAATCAACTTCTTTTGTGCTAAACTAGGCCTGGGTTGGGCTTAGCAAATACTGTGCGACGCTGTGTTGGCAAGGGAAAAACTCTAGAAAGGGGCGACTATGCGTTGCATGTGAATATTCAAAGGACAAAGACATATGGGATGCAGACAGATGCAACGCGATGTCACGAGCTGGTGAATTTGCGAAGAACCCCAAAATTCCTGCCCTTGCTGGCATCAACTACGCCGAACCGCCCATTCAGCATCGAGGAAGTTCTGAACTGGGCCGTGATGGACTGGGAAGTCCAGATTCAACCTTTCGAGCTGGGAGGACCCTGTTTGTTTTGGTCAGCCCACCAAAAGCAAGGTGACGTTCGGGAGAACCCTGTTTTGCCCGTTGACCCCAAACCTGGCAAGGCAGGTCAGTGACACGCACTTTTAAAACGTGCAACGCATTGCAAAGTGAGTCTTCAGTTCCCCTGTCTATCCCCACTGCATCGCCTAAATGGATGTTCAGAATATGAAATGTTTGATTGAAGAGTGAGTTGCACGATCGTCGTCGCGTCACAATTCAGGTTCCAAGCACCCACTTGCGTCTTCCCAACCTCCACTTGAATCTAGAAGCACGCCTTGTGGGAGGGGGACTTCAGCTGTTACGACTGAGAGAGAGTTAGGACGCGGCACCTGTTTTGTGGAAGCTACGATCGATCGTGGCTGGGGATCGATGTGCCACATGTACAGTGTGTTGGCGATATCGCCAACGCCTGGTATCCGTTTTTCGCAGAACGTCGAAACTCTACAGTAAACGGGTACCCTAAATGGGTGGCACCTGCAGCTCGCACGGTGGAGGTGCCGATGTGCACACATCGATCTTGCGTTTAGGTTGGTGGGAGGGCACATCGAGCCACAGGTGACAGCCGCGATCGATCGGCGTCGCCCACGGTCGCAGGCCCAGAATTTCTGAGTCGCTGCGAATGAAATTGCTGGGCGATCAACCACTCTCTGCCCTTATTGGCTGCGCATTGCACTGTTTGGTGTACCCCGCAGCAGCTCCAACCTGCCCGAACCTGCAATTTCGATCCTGGCACTTATAGCTCGATGTGTCAGCCCCACTGCAAATTTGCAGTGTGGGCACATCGGTGTGCCGATCGATGTGCCAGGATCGATGTAAGGCCCCGATCCTCACTCGATCCTGGAAAAATGCAAACATGTTCCGCGTCCTTAGAGTGAAAACACTTGCGTTCCTCGCAAATTCATCAGTCAAAAGTACTGTCGTGTGTCGAATCCCGTAAACGACGACACTCCCGTACCAAGACCACATAGCATCAACCCAAATTTGTGTCTCCCCCGCTCTCGTGCTTGAGTCCCAAACATAACTGCCTGTAAAATAGGAAGCGTCCGAAACGACCTTCGGTTTCAGGCAAACTAGGAATAGTTGCCCATGGGTGTGAAATAGCGGAAGCCTACTGTACATGCAATCAAATCCAGTTAAGACTGCAGGTGTACTTGCATACATAATGTATTTACATTCACAACAAACGTGTAAAGAAAACATAGATGCTTATACTATTGACTCATGGGCATTCCTTGCCTGTTAGGGCATGGAACATCCCATGATTGTCCCTAAGTTTTCTCAGTCAACGATCTGCACCCTACTTAATTTACTGCGAAGCGCCAATAACAAATTTCAGAAGGTACGCCCTTTAGGAAATTCTTCAAATTTGCATTGATTGAAGGGTATTGATCGTGATCTCCCAGTCCTAATGTCTATCTAGATCCAGCAGCAGATGAACCTGTTCACTAGCATCTCGCTGGTAACAAAGAACCAACTCGCTGCATTGCGGAAGTTACAGGTTACAAAGTCAGAGTCTCTACTAATGGACATCGCATATTGTAGATTTATGGATGGTTACACTTGGGCTCCGTTATAAACGAATTGGTTATAAGCGCTAGAAGATGCTAGAAATAATATGGTATTGGTTCCAAAGCAAATAGTGCATCCAAAAATGGCGACATGCGAATTTATGTGTCGTGCTATGATGCGATGCGATGTGATGTGATGTGATGTGATGTGATGCGATGCGATGAGACGCAATGGGATGCGATGTGATGCGATATGATGTGATGCGATATGATGCGATGCGTTGCGATGTGATGTGGTGTAGAGTGAGCTCAGATCATATACGTAAAGCCATCAACCGATGGTGAGGAAATGGAAGTTCCCATCTCCAAGGTCCGTGGCTGCAAATGCCCACGCTGATGCACATGCTCATGCCCGTTCAATGGTACCCCTCTTCCAGCCCTGGCTGCTGAAGCCGCAGCAGCCGCTGCCGCTTCCACACCTGCCAGCCCGTTTCCACCACGGGCCCGTCTCCGCGGGCTGTCTCTCATTTCAGGCTGTGAGTTGCTAGGAAGGATGGAGCTTTTGGAGTGTCGCACGCCAGGCAGCGTCATCAGCCGCAGCAGCTTCTTGCCGATTGCACTGGCCGAGGAGCTGGGAGAAGAAAGACGCTTTTGCTGCTCTTGCTGGTGCTGTTGGTGCTGGTGGTGGGAGCGGTGGGAGAGGTGTTTGTCCGTGCACGTGGCAGCCCTTGCTGATGTGATACTCATGGCGTTCTGCTCTGGGAGCCCGTGCTGCTGGTAGTATAGTCTATGGAGCTGCTGCTGCTGCTGCTGCTGCTGCTGCTCGGGCTGCCGAGTCTGGAGCTGCTGCTGCGTTCTGCAAGATGATTCGTCATGTGATTCTTTGTTGAGATCTCCTTCGATATTGACCTGCAACGTTTGTCCCCGAACATGAACGCAGCAAGAGGGGACAATGAAACGTCAGACGGAAACTGGGACGTCAAAGGAGAATGGAAACAAGAAGACCAGAGACTTTGCATCGGAAGTGAAAAGGGCGTTCAGAGATCAGGTAACGAGCCATCACATTCTTATTCCCATATGCAGTGCAACATATGACGCTCGTACCTCTCCCGAGTGATAATGCTGACTGTTCTTGCCAGATCGAGGTGAGTTCCACAATCCGTGATTCGCACCACCTGCCGCACTAGCAGCAGCAGCAGAAGCAGCAGGAGCAGCAGGAGCCGAGGCAGAGGTTGTAGCAGAGGGAGGGGTAGAGGCAGCGAGTCCTTCGAGGTGGCTGAGAGAGTCCGCTACGTGCAGCAGCGCCAACTGCCTCGTCAGTTCACCCGTATCCAGGCCAGGCAAGCCTTCTGCAGGCTGTGCTTCCGTCATCGCACTTGCTCCTGACTCCTCCTCCCGCTGCTGCTGCTGCTCATGATAGTAGCACTCATGCTGCCGCAAGTCCTGCGCCTTCCCGCCATCCTCTGCGCCCGCCGCGGCGCATGCGCCGATCTCGCATCCTCCTTCCCCCGCCGACCGCCGCGCCTCGAGCAGCTCCTGCAGCATGGACTGCTGCTTCACCAGCAGCATGAGCATCAGCTGCGACTCGTCTTCGCGACGCTCTGTTCCCGTCGTTCCCGCCGCCGCAACGTCGAATGATCGTCCCGCCCCATCGTTCACAAAGTGCATTTCGCGTGGAAACGCTTTCATTTCCGGATGACTCATTGCAGGCTCGTGCAGCGACATCTCTCCACGGGATGAGGCGCGTTCTTGAATGCCGCTGGAGCTGCTGCTACTAGTGCCGCTAGACCTACCGCTGGTACTAGTTGTAGTATTGCTACCAATAATAGTAGTCGTTGGATGGGTGCGACCGCTTGGCGGTTCCGTGTTGACAGGTGTCACCAATGGCGAGGACGCCGTGAGGCGCGGGGACGCCGTGGCCGCGCGCGGAAACGACGACGACGGGTTGTTCGACGACGTGCTCGACGGAGCGGGCGGCGACGTCTCCCGCGCCGCGAGATGACGGCAGCCGTTACTGCTATGATGATGCCGGCGCTGATCATGATGATCCTTCTTTAACAAGTTGTCGTTCTCCTTCCGATGGGTCTTTGTTGTCGTTCTCTCCGCCGCGGCTTCCGCCGCCTCTGCCGCTTGGAGCTGGCATTTCCACGCGTACTCGCGGCGCGGCATGAGGTAGTACATGGCGCCGGGTGTTAAGCAGCGGTGCGGGTTCACGGGGTGAAAGCGCCGCGCCGCGGACATTGCTCCGGGTTTCTTGACACCGGTGTTCTTGTATCCCGTGATGATGGACCCGCTATGGCTGTCGCTGGTGGCGGAGGAGGCGGTGCTGCGAGCGTCGTCGTCGTCGCAGACCCATTCGCCGTCGTCAAAGTCGCGGTCGCGGTCGCGATCGCAGACTACGGGGTCGCGATCTCCGCCCGATGAAGAGGGCGAGAGGAAGAGGTCGTGGTGCGGATACTCGCGAAGCACGTCGCGCGCGATGAGGAGCGGCTCGTCGAAGAGTCGCATGGAGCCGTCCGGCAGGCATACGAGGATGTGGGAGGTGGCCATGGTGGATGAAGGGCAAGGCGCAGCGCGACGGATCAGGAGATATTGATTTCAGATCGCGATGGAGAGCTCCAACGGCAGTACGAGAGAGAGAGAGAGAGTGAGAGAGACAGCGAGCAAAAACTGGTTCTCAGACGCGAGCGAGGGAGTGCCTGCCAACAGCAGCTGTGCTGCTGAAGGCAACCGCAAATAGCTTATGGAAGTTGGGTTTTTCATCACAAATGCTGGGACGGGAAGAATTTGTAAGCTGAGGATGGAAGAGAGACATGCGATTGGGGAGGATGCGACGCGACGGGAATCGGGAATCGGGGGCTCTACAGTAAAATTCCCATCTCGTGCTGGCATCAACTACGCCGAAGCGCCCATTCAGCGTGGAGGAAGATTTGTCGAGCTGTATCCATTTCCACCCTCACGAAATGGGATGTCTGGTTTTTTTAAAGCCTGTCGACCCCCACTGACACTTACAGCGTTGTCCTCAAAAGCTAGTAAGAAATGCAATCACGAGTTTACTAATTTCTGAACCTGGAAGTACCAGTTGTACGGAAGGGATTCAAGCAGCCAGAGCTGTACGCCCTCCACGTTTTCAGTACTAGCAACGCCGTTCCCATATTGACGCATCCGAATGTTGCCACCACACGCTGGCGCGTTTGAAAGATTCTGTGTTGTGGGACGAGGAATAACTTTGGCAGCACTGCTGCTGCCCTCGTCAAGCTAGTCCAATCAATGATGGGTAAACCCCCAACAAGCTCGTCCGCTAGTGGGGATTTCAGTACCCATTTGTAGATACAAATGTGGGTATGGTTCAAATTGATAAGTATGGTAACCATAATGTGTGCCAACAGGAAACTAAAACACGGGCTAACAGATCAGAAATGGCATGTGCTCCTTGCTAGCGCCTCCTACAAGGAAGCACACAATTCGGGAAGAACATTACTGCAAAACATCTTGGGCAAACCCACATTTTCACTATATCTGAAATCACAAGAATGGTGATACTATACAATATATGTTCCAACACCAAGTGGTACGTGTACAGTGACATTTGACATACAGTTCATTGCTCATGATCATAGTCCACTACCTGTACAGAAAACATAGGTAAACAGACATGCAAGACTGAGAGGGAGAGAACAAGTAACTAGTACACATTCATAACAATGAAAGCATCCGAAGCATGGTTTGAAACACTTCAGGTCAAGGCACTTGCAGTTATGCAAACATTGCCTGGGATGACCCTCCTTGAGAAAAGATTCCCTTCGAAGATGTAAGACGAACGGCAGCCGCTGTGAGTCGCATCTGAGACAGACAATGTGGGAGACAGAGAACAGACAAATTCTGAGGCGGACAAATTCTTAGGGAGGGTGAGGGAAGGGGAGAATGTGAAGAGGGGAGTGCGGGCAAAGCGAGAGCAGGTGAGCTGCTTTGACACAAGAACTACCTGGAAAACGGCGAGGATGTATAAGAAGCGGGGAACAACGAAAGGGTCAGGGCAAAGGAACATGTGTCCTGTCACAGCTTACCACGTTAAAGAGAACTAGGATCCACCAGTTGCCAACAAGTCCAAACCCCCAGTGCTGCGCCCCCTGCCATGCAACGGATGGTGAGTGAGTGAGGAGCGTGGGCCAGGAAGGAGAGCGAACAGCACTCCCATCCCACGGTGTTTTTTAAGGATGCTCAATGCTGGGATGAAGAAAGTGCTCGCAGACTTGAGATTTGGAAAATAAAGAGTGTGCAGGTGTATCGTGTGGCATGGGAGTGATGGTGGTAAGGTGGGGTAAACCTTGAGCAGCAGTGCGCCTATGAGCATGGCAGCGCTCATGGTAGTTGCCAGGTATGCCAAATCCCTGCTCGCCTGCTCATCGTGGTGGTGGTGGTGGTGGTGGTGGTGGTGGTGGTGGTGGTGGTGGTGGTGGTGGTGGTGGTGGTGGTGGTGGTGGTGGTGGTGGTGGTGGTGGTGGTGGTGGTGATGATGATAGTGTTGATTGTTGTTAATGATTGTAATGATGGTTATGGAGGAGGGGCTGTATGGGCTACCAAAGGAGAGAGTCAACAAAAAGGCGGCAGTTGCCAGCTGTCATACAGAGACGGAAAGGGCAACGTGCCAATACAGGGACAGGTGCAACAGCTGCCATAGTAGCAATCAAACACTAGCAGACACAGAAGAGGGCACGACAGTAGGCACAGCAGAAGGCATGGCAATACGCATGGCAGCAGGCATAATAGCATGGTGGCAGGAGTGGCAGCAGGCATGGCAGCAGCAGGTATGGCAGCAGCAGGTATGGCAGCAGCAGGTATGGCAGCAGCAGGTATGGCAGCAGCAGGTATGGCAGCAGCAGGTGGCGGGGCAGGAATACCAGCAGGGCTCCTTCAGAGGAGAGCACGATGGGGTTGAGCATCAGACTGACTGCCAGGGCCGGAGCTATGCGCGCTATCTGATGGGGAAGGTTGGTGGGAGAAAGGGCGAAGGGGAAGGAGGGGGAACGGAGGCAGAAGGTGCAGAAAGGGGAGGAGGAAAAGAAGGAGTTTTGTACTGCGTGGCAAGGGGTGGCTTGGAGGGTGGAATGGGATTGCTTGTGTTTAAGGCTGGGTCGATTGTAGTGATAATGCGGATGTGAAAAAGAGGTAAACCTCCAGATACGATCCATGCACACCCACGTGCAATTGCACACCCAAGTGGCAATGCACACCCACGTGGCAGTCCTCACATCACAATCTAAACCAGCACAAGAGGCAGCCGCAATGGGCGCTGTGGAGAAGAAGGGTATGCGGACCTGAAGTACCACCTGAGGACCTAAGGCCCCTGCCACCTGAGTATTCCCCTGATGCCCACCTAAGTATTCACCTGATGCCCACCTGAGTATTCACCTGATGCCCAGCTGAGTATTCACCTGATGCCCACCTGAGTATGCACCTGATGCCCACCTGAGTATGCACCTGATGCCCACCTGAGTATTCACCTGACGCCCACCTGAGTATTCACCTGATGCCCACCTGAGTATTCACCTGACACCCACCTGAGAGACGACAGCCGGGTCGGCAGTGAAGAGCGAGGGCATGCGAAGCGAGACGAAGAGGGCAGTAGTGACCTCCAAGGCGCCCAGCAGGGCTGCTATGAGTATCAGCGTCATCAGCAGCCGCCTCGCCTGTGGTTGTTGGCACGCGGGTGGTATGGGAGGAGAGGGGGAAGGAAATTGAGGGAAGACGTCTATAACGCCCAGCAGGGCTGCTATGGGTACCAGCGTCATCAGCAGCCGCCTCGCCTGTGGTTGTTGACAGGGTGGGTGGCAATGGGAACATGGAAGGCTTGGAAGAAAGGGATGGAATAGTCATGTGGCGGAACGAGCTACGAGAAGGGGCAGAAAGATGGGGTGATTACCCAGAGAGTGAGTGAGATGCACAGGGGGAATGAGCCAGGAGGAGCGCTTTGCTAGAGTAGGAAAAAAAAAAAGCGCTCCGGCCTGATAGGCCATGAAGTCTGGCATTTGAATCGTGAGTTTGGAAGAGACAGGACAAGGACAGTTTCTGAGGAATCACACACCCGCATCTTATAAGCTAAGAAAGGGCTGCGTGTGAGAGAGAACTCACACTCACACACCCACCTTGTCCATGTTCCTGTGGACACCAACGCATAGGCTGGGAAGGAACGACTGGGCTGTCTGAGAGAGGGCCTCTGCACACACTGCACAGAGGGAAAACACTCCCACCAGCACCTGACACGTGTGTAAGAGGAGAGGAAGAGGGGGAGAAGGAATGGAAAGGGAGCGGACAGGGGACAGGGAGTAAAAGGTAGTGATGTGATGACGAGGGTGGTAGAGGGCAGGTTATGGACAAGTGGTGCTTGTAGGTTGATTGAATGGTGAGGACTGGAGGGAAGACATGGCAGTGAAAAAGCTGGTTGTTTTCAAACACTATAAGACCAGCTAAGGATTGATGAGAAGGCAGAGGAAGGGGAGAGGAGAGCGAGACCTGATGTGCAGCAAGAGGAACAGTGCCGAGAGCTGTAGCCTGGAAGGTGACCAATGTGTAGAAGCCGACCTGATGGGGGAGACGAGGGGAGAAAAGGGGAGTGGGGGTGAAGAGGGGAGAAGAAGGGAAGAGGATGAAGACAAGGAAACGGATATTTGGGATGTATGGGGTGGGGTGAAGTGCTGGAAGAACGTTCACAACCGTTGGAAGGCTGGTGATTACAAGTGAAATACAACCGTTACGTTGGAGGTGAGTTGAAAACCGTTGATAGACCTTGACAAAACATCGAAAGACAGTTAAAAGACTTTCGAAATCGCTGAAAGACGGTTAGAAACCGTTGAGAGACTGTTGACAGCATATGTAACATATGTAACAATCTAGAAATTGCGAGACCGATGCAACGAGGCACTGGCAAGTTGAGAGGGCAGGCCAACCAATAAATGGATGGATGGATGGATGGATGGATGGATGGATGGATGGATGGATATGGAAAAGGAACCAACAATGGGAGGTGAGGGTGTGAGTGAGTGTGGAGGAGGAAAAGCGGACCTTGGCAGCAAGGGAGACGAAGATGGGACCCGTGAGGGAGAGGTAGGTGAGCAGGGCGGGGAGCGGAGGGGGCGAAATGGCGAGGCGAATTCGACCCGACCGGTGCAGCGAGTGCAGCATGAGAAGCGCTCCCACGTACTGCATGATGGAGGGAGGAGGATCAAAGGGGAACGCGGGGGAAAGGCTTTTGGCTCGCCTCAGGAAGGGAGTGCAGCATGGGTGCAGTATATGGGTGGACCCATATGGGTGCACTATATGGGTGCAGCATGAGAAGCGCGCCCACGTACTGCATGATGGAGGGAGGAGGAGGATCAAAGGGGAACGCGGGGAAAAGGCTTTTGGAAAGCCTCAGGAAGGGATTGCAGCATGAGAGGTGCACCCATATACTGCATGATGGGGGGGAGCAGGGTGGAATGAGGGGGACGGGGGATGAGTGGTTAGGTGGGGGATTGAGGGAGGGGACGGAATGGGGGCAGACGGCACAGCGTGAGATTCCGGAATCCGATTAACGTACAGGGGGGATTGCAAAAAAGAACAAGGATGGTGGGGGGAAAGAGAGAAACACTGAGTGGCTGGCATGAGCAGAGAGACACGTAGATAGACAGGCACAGACTGTGAGGGTGAGAAGCACGGTGCAGAGGGGAAGCGGGCTGTGGCGGGCATAGCAGCACATCTCGTGAAACGAGGGTGTTTTTGAGACGTCTCAAAAGGGACGGGAAAGGGAGAGGAGAGGTGTACCTGAGAGGCCATGGTGGCCCAGGCAGCCCCTGCAATGCCGTATCCCAGCAGCGGGCATAGTAGTATGTCTCCCCCCAGGTTCACTGCACTCGCCACCGCTAGACAGCGCAGCGGCCCCCACACGTCCTGCAGCCCGAGACTGGCGGGGCATGAGGAGAGGAATGTGGGGGGTGAGGGGTGAGGGGAGGGGAGGGAGGAGATTGGGGGCTTGAGACGAGGGAAAGCGGAGACAGCGCAGTGGACCACACACGTCCTGCAGCCCGAGACTGGGAGGTGTGGGGAGAAGGGGAGGGGGGCGTGGGGGGAAGAGAGAGTGGCAGGGAAGACGTTTTGGAATGAAAGGGAGGAGAGGGCGGAGAGCGTGGATCTCAGACGGATGGAGCCCGAGACTGGTGGGAGTGAGGGTGTGCGGGAGAGGGAGGCGGGTGCGTAGGAAGTAGGGGAAGGAGAGGGTGAACATGCAGCGGAGCCCATGCATCCTGCAACCTGTGACTGGCAGTGCACAAGGAGAAGGAGAAGGAGAGGGACGAGGGGAGAGAGGGTTGAGGAAGGGTGAAACTGGGAAAGAGAGGAAGGAGAGGAAGGAGAGGAGGGAGAGGGAGGAGAGCGGTCACAGTTCTGCAGATCCCCCGCGTCTTGCAACCCGGGAATGGTGGTAGTTGTGGCGAGGGTGGTAGCCAGGTGGGGGATGAGGAGCGGGTGATAGTGGTGAGCTAGAGGGAGGCGTATGGAGATGGACGTGAACAGACGTGTCAGCATGGAGATGAGGAAGTTGCATTCTTCTGTGTACCAAGCTGACACATATCTCCGCATACCCTGCCTCGCACCAACGCCCTGACCAACCGGTCCGTTCACTCAACACCCTGACTGGCACTAAGTCAGACCACCCATCTACTCGTCCTCACTCAGTAACACTCCTCCTGACTCAGTAACTACACAATTTTCGACTCAGATGCCAACTCACTTACTCAGTTACCGTTCGAGGCCTCTCACTCACCTCGCGCTCTGAGCCACGGACGTGATGAGAACAGCTGGCCATGCATAAGCTCGGATCTGCCACACACAGAGAGGGAAGGAGTGCATAGCCCCGGCGCATGAGAGAAGGGGGCGGGGAGAAGAGGAGGGAAGGGAGGAGAATGCGGATGAGAGTGGTGGGGTGGGTTGAGGAAGAGTGCTAGCGGGATGAAAACCAGAGGCATGAAGCAAACGAGAGTGTAAGGGTGAGTGGAAGGGTGGAATGATGGCATGCAGAGAGCTGGCAGATACCATTGACAAGGAAAGCTGGGTGTGAGATTCAGGTGCAGGTGCAGGTGCAGGTGCAGGTGCAGGTGCAGGTGCCAGGCCGAGTGTAAAGTTCAACATCCCTGTACCTTGGCGTAGACACACGCTGCTGGGATGATGGAAGTGTTGCTGCCCACAAATCCTGATGTGCCGTGGATACATGCAGAGGGAGATGGGCAGAAGGCACACAGATGCACTCACACAGGAACATTGACATACACACACGTGCATTCGTGGGCATATGAAGAAGCAGGATTGTGAGCAGGAAAGCAGGAAAAGAGGAACCCCCCCGCAATCCCCACCCCATCCCCTTTCCCTCTCCTCATACCCATTACTTTCCTCCAGTTCTCTAGGCAATTCCCTGCCGTCACAGTACACATGCTCACCGGTGATGGCTTGTGGCACGAATCGGAGGGAGATGGCAGTCATGAGCAGTCCACACACAAGGGCCACGAACAGCAGCTGTGACAGATGCCGCGACGCCAGCTCTGTATCCTGGCGGGATTGGGAAAGATGCAAGGAGGGCATGAGAGGGCGGTCATGAGCAGTCCACATATGAGGGCCACGAACAAGAGCTGTGAAAGATGCCGAGACGCCAGCTCTGTATCCTGCGAGGAGGAGGGCATGAGAGGGTTAGGGAGAGCACGGAGCAGCATTTTCTCGCTCTCTCCCTCATATGCCTGTGCAAGGCAAGGGGCACGGACGGAGGGAATGAGAGGGTTGAAGAGAGGGGAATGCCTATTGTGGCTTCTGAAGGCAAACACGGAAGGTACAGTGTATTCTATGCCTCCAGGCCCCCTCCATGCTCTTAGCCTGCCTCTATGCCCCTTACCCGCAACTGTAAATTTCCTTGTGCAAGGCAGTCCCTAGCCTAGCCTGACCTGACCTAACCTGGCCCGGACTGACTGACCTGACCCGACCGACCTGGCCCGGACCGACCCGACCAACCTGGCCCGGACCGAGCTAGCCCGACCTAGACTGGGTGTGGGAGCATGTTACCTGCTGTGCCATGGAGGTGGCAATAAGGTTGGCGGTGGCGATGGAGAGGAACATGAAGAGGAACGCCACCTGGTCACACATTACCGTGCCCGGCCCTGCCACGCAGGGGGGAGAGAGGAAGAGGGGAGGAGAGGGTGGTTGGGTTGGGTGGGGGGCTGGTGGGGAAAAAGAGGGAGTTGCAGTTGCAGTTGCAGTTGCAGTTGCAGTTGAGACGTCTGATTTGGTGAGGTGCTGAGCAGATTCATGCCTCCCTGGTCGCAAAGTGCTGCTCCTGGCCTTGCTCTGTTGGTAAGGGGAGAGGGGAGGAAAGAAAGGAAATGCAGGGGGGAGAGGGGGGTCCGAGAAAGCTCTTGTATTAGATTAGTGACACCCGGTTGCTCTACTGTGGCTGGCTGTGAGGTGTGCGGTTGGAGAAGGGGGAGGTCACCAGGACAGGTAGGAGGAGGAAAGGTTAGGTGGGGGGAAGAGGAGAAGGAGGAAGAAGAGGAGGAGGAGGAGGAGGAGGAGGAGGAGGAGGAGGAGGAGGAGGAGGAGGAGGAGGAGGAGGAGGAGGAGGAGGAGGAGGAGGAGCAGGAGGAGCAGGAGGAGCAGGAGGAGCAGGAGGAGGAGGAGGAGGAGGAGGAGGAAGGAAGAGAGAGTGGCAGGGATGGGAGCAAGACGACCTACATTGACAGAGCATCCCCTCACTTTCACTATGATGCATTGCCACCTTTTTGAATCTCCACCAGACCGTGAAAGGCATTAACGTCCCTCCACCAACCTCATGCCTCATCTTATTCTTCACCCGATCCCTCCGTACCCTCCCCTTTCCCTCCCTTTCCTCTCCGTCCTTTCCCCACCACCGATCCCTTCCCCACCACCGTTCCCCCCCATTTCTCTTCCGCTCTCTTACCAAGCGCAGCTAGTTCAGTGGAGCAGCCTTGCCCCACCACTGCCGTGTCGATTAAAGACATAATCGGGTGCGACAGCCATATTCCCATAACAGGCCCCGCGAAGCTCACCACACTCCGCGCCTGCTCCCAGACCTCCTCACTCCACCGCGCGTCCTTCCGCCCGGATTCAACCTTCCTCGCCTCGTAGACGCCTGCCTCTGTCGTGGTAGCCAGGTTCAATTCTTGTAGCTTAGCAGCCGAAGCTTCTTCTCCTTTCGGGACAAGGTCGGATCCTCGTAGATCGTCGTCATGTATCGGCCCATCGTGTATCGGCCCATCGTGTATCAGCCCATCCAGCGCAACGCTTCCCGCGCACAAGGAAACAGCAGCATCGTCAGCCGCTCCTAATGGAACGGCAGCAGCAGCAGCAGCGGCGGCGGCGGCGACGGTGACTGACGTGGCATCCGAGTTGTCTTCTGCCGACGTGGCTTCGAACAGTGCTTCACATTGCTCGGGAGATCCAAGCGAAGCGCCGCCGGCTGCGGCGGTGTCCCGTCCACCGTCGGCGTGAGACGCGGCAGAGCAACAGCATCGTGAACGGTTGGAGCGAGCGACTAGAGGATTGCGAGAAACAAGGCCTACTAAAGTTGGCAATTGGTTGGAAGAATTTCGCTGTGAAGAAGGACGCGCAGTCACGGCCGCTGATGCATCGCCATAATCTGGGCGGGGGCGGTGATAATGTGGAAAAGATTGGTACGAGCATCGCCTGCTGGTGATCCGAGACGGCTCGTCTGATGCTGCTACTGGTCGTCCGATCAGCGCGAGCGGTCTGAGAAGATTAAGAGACTTGACATTGTCGTGGGAACGCGCAGGTCGCAAGGGTAGCGAATTGGCGGGAGTGAAACGACTGGAGGCCTCCGGCCAGACGAGCCGTCCGCGAGGTTGAGCTGAGGCGAGATTGACGGGATTTGGATGCCGCGAGGAGGATTGTGGATGCAAGGTCCCCGAATGATGGCGGATGGTTGGGGTCGCGCGACAGATGGCGGATTCCATCCCAAGCGACGGCCGAGAAATTGAAGAGAAAACGGGAAATGCGATAGCAAGAAAAGTAGTAGAGCAAAGGCCCTTGCGATTAGTCGCGCGAGGGCGGACAGACTTCTCAAGTCAGTAGGAGAGCCCCCTAAAATGTATCGCTTGCTATCCACACCGGTTTTGTCGCTATGACGGATTCAAGGTCAGCCTGCCCCGAAAGGGATCCCCAATGAAAGAAGCCACTGCTCTGAGTTGAATCTGAAACACACTCCATCTTGGGAATATACCGCCACGGCCAAGCAAGCGACGCGTGTGTTGTCAATTGCGTACGGGTTGCGGCTTCCCAAAGCCCAACTTCTTTCCAGGTTCCGAGTCGACTTGGGGACGAAGGGTTTTGTTTCGCCAGCAGAACGTTGGCGAAATCTAGATTGAACTGACGGAGGGACTGTCAGTGGTGTGTAACTAGAGATTGCCACTGAAGCAAAAACGTCAAGACGAGGTAGCCACGTGGATGCGTCTCGCTGGATAATTAACGTACTTTTCCATTGGACTAAAATAGTGCCACGTGCTAGTTTCCGGTTCGTCTCGGGCTTTTATGGGAAAATATGCCACAAGTAACACACAGTGGCATAGATAATTTGCTTGGTAATGAAAAGCCGTGTACGGTCACTGAAAAGGGTGTTTTCACGCGAATGATAATAGGGTTCACGTAATCAGTCACCATTAGCTGGCGGAATTTCACGCGAATGGTCACACATGAAACTCCCGCCCAAAAAAAGATAATACCCAAAAGGAACCTGGATGCATTTTCGGATTGATCAACCCTAGACACGTATTCCGAGGGATGTTTAGGGTTGATCCGTTCCCAAATCGCATCAGCTTCCGATTGGGTTTAGTTTTTTCAAAGTTGACTGATTGGTTTTGCGCGAGCGGGAAAATTTCCGAGTTTCATGTATTCTTGGCGGGAGTTTCATTTATTTTTTGGCGGGAGTATCATGTGTGACCATTCGCGTGAAAAACTGCCAGCTAATGGTGACTGATTACGTGAACCCTATTATCATTCGCGTGAAAACACCCTTTTCAGTGACCGTACACTGTTTTTTTTACCAAACAAATTATCGATGCCACTGTGCGTTACTTGTTGCATATTTTCCCGGCTTCTATCGCACAAACACCCGAATGTACAGTGAACTGTACTATAGCTCCCTCAATTTTATTCAAGGAGAAATTCAACGCAAATCGAGCCGCCAGCCCAAATTTGAGCCAGAGCCCAAACAGCACGACGCGCGACAACCCCCAGGGGTGCCTGTGTGAACTGTGTGCTGGCTGCACTCCACCCCCAATCTGCACTGCACTGCACTGCACCCCTAATCTATAGGATGAACCTTCTTTCCAGTCTAGTTTCCCAGAACAAAACAGCAGCTAGCAATGGGAAATCAACGTACAGTAATACCGTAACAAGACCCATCAGGTTCTAACTTTATACCAAGGAAACACCTCCATGAGCAACAAATACGTCGCTCCAGCTACCATAAACCCAATCACCCATGCGTTTGAATACACCGTGTGCAGCCATGCCGGCACCACTTCTGAGGCAAGCACTCCCACAGCAGCCAGAAACCCAGGAAGATTAGGCAGCACACCTGCCACCAGCGCAAGCACTGCAGCCGGATTATACCCGCCTGCATACCAATAAGGCCCAGACGGGTCCAAAGAATAAAGCCCATCCACGTCCAACTCCGTCTTCCTCAGCAGAAAATAATCCGCAACCAACACCCCCGCAATCGGGCCTAGCAACGCTGAGTACGCTACAAGCCAAGCGAAAAACGCCCCGCCTCCACCACCACCACCACCATCCGCCGGCGCCCGAACCAGCCTCCATGGCGCCAGCAGCAGCCCAGCAAGAGCCGTCACCGTGGCTCCCGCAGCAAACGAGACCCGCCGCGGCGCCAGATTCACCAGCGCATTGGCTGGCGCAACGACGTTCGCGGCGATGTTGGTGGTGAGTGTGGCGAGGCACAGGCCAGTGCAGGCGAGCAGCGACGGGAGCAGCCCGGGAATCTTGGAGAGAAGCAGCACAGGGTCGGGGATGGCAGGTGGGCCAAAGACAACGAGCGTGGCGGAGGTGACAGCGAGACCCACGAATGCAAACGCCACCATGGTGACAGGCAGGCCCAGCGCCTGGCCTATGGCTTGCGAGGCCTGCGAGCGAGCGTAGCGTGTGAAGTCTGCCAGAGGAACCGGGGGGGATGGGTGGATATTGGGTGAAAAACATGTGCGTTTGACAAGGTGGGGGGGGAGAGGGGGGGGGGGAGGCAATGGGGTCGCAGAACGGGAAAGGTTAGCCTTGAAAGCAGTAGATAGCACTATAAAATGGTAGATTATGAATCAGGTCAAGTGTGGCAGCATCCACTTGCCTTCCATATCACAGCAAGTATGGAATCTGTCAGCGGAAAGCTAACTACAGTTTATTAAAAAATATCCATTCCTTTGTTATCCCTTGACAGCAATCCACCATACGTTTCACTTGCTTGTCGACCAAACGTAACTCTCCATGAGTTGCTCTTGATCAATCAACATGCATTGCCATCAACATCCATCAACCATATGCAAGCAGTGCAGATCCCCATGCCATGCCCACGCCCATGCTTATGCCCACATACACGACCATATTCACGAGCAGAGACAGTCCACCCACCTGGAATATTGAGGCTCAGTGTCGCCCAGAACCCAACGTTTGCTGTCAGGGCAGGGAAAAACGTTTTCCAGAACTGCCCGTGCTTGGGCCCTCCCGGTGCAAAGAGCGAGGGTGCGCTGAGCATGGGCCCCAGCCCGCCCGCCCTGGAGTAGGCCCATGCTAGCAGACAGACACACAGGCTGGGATGGGGATGGTGTAGGAGAAGGGAAACAGGAAGAAAATGGGAAGGGAAGGGGAATGAAATGGGGAAGGGGAAGCAAAGAGGATGTGGAGAACTGGATCATGGAATGGAAGCTGGTGTGGGAGACCGATTTGCATGAGGAAACTGAGAAAAGGTTGGGCCTTTCCTCTCTCTGACACCCTGGCACCGTTTGAAGCCGGTGGGTGGAAAGGACAGGTTACAATATCAGCACTTTGTCTGCTAACAGAGCGATGGCGCTTTGAGACGTCTTAGACCTTGGTGAACTGATTGCCAGGGCTGTGAGACCATACCGTATCAGCCTCACCGCACCAGCCTCACCACACAAGCCTCGCCGTACCAGTCTCACCATACCAGCCGGAACCTACTAAATCGTGTTGTCCTTACAGCAACAGAACGGGAGCGCTGGCAGACTCGAGGTGGCGAATCGACTCGATCCCACGCCACACAATTCCCAGCTGCGCCGCCCAAAACACTAGGAAGCACCCCAGCTCCGCGAACGTCACCCCGCCGAACCACCCTGGCAGGCTCGGCGCCGCCGCCAGCGCCGCGGCCCCAGCACCCCCCTGCGCCGCCGGCAAGTGCGTGACGAGCTGGAGGATCGCCGAGCCTCCGATCCAGGTCTGGATGCCGAACCAGCCGCAGGCGACGAGTCCGCGGAGCAGCGAGGGGAGGTTGGCGCCTTTGACGCCGAAGGCTGCGCGCGCGAGGACGGGGAAGGGCACGCCGTACTTGCAGCCGGGATGACCGTTGAGCAGCATGGGGATGAGCACGAGGAGATTGCCTGCTAGCACGGTTAGGAGACCCTGCCACCATGCCATGCCTACCTCCACTAAGGTGGCCGCGAGATACCACGTGGGGACGCCTGAATGGCGAAGCGAGAGAGGAGGGAGAGATGGGATAGCGGAGGGTGGGTAGCGTGGAGGGAGACGGGAAAATTGGTGAGGAGAAGGAGGCAAAAACAAAGGTTGCGGGTAGCAGGAGAAACAACGTTGAAGGAGGATATATTGGACTGGAGAGGGTAAGCAGGAGTGGATGCATTTGGCTCATGATGTTGCCATGAGGGAAAACTTATTTGGATGGCGTCAATGATAAATAAACGGGGAAACATGAGAGGGCGAGAATTGAGTATTGGACGGAGGGAGTGAGTCGCACCAACAACGAGACCAATCCAGAGCGACGCCATGTGCCACGCGTCGAAAGTTCGTTGGCTGGCCAGCGTCGGAACGAGATCGTCGTTTATCAGCGACGGATCCGGCTGCACAGGTAGTCGAGCAGCGATTGGTTGGATGAATAATGCTCCTCGACCAGACGAGACTGCGGGGTCCTTTTCTGGTTTACCGCTTACAATGGGACCCGCTTTCCCTGCGCCGCTAGCAGCGCCTCCTGACGCGCCGCCGCTTTCTGCGCTACATCGAAGCACCAGCTGATCGTGCTTGAAGGGTGTGCGACGTGCGGCGAGAAATGAGCGACTCGGACGACGGACCGTGCGAAACTCGCACGGTGCTGCGAAATTGGAGGACGCATGACGGCAGTGCGAGGGTTGAACGAGACGACTTGGACACGAGGACGCTGTAGCGCTGACTGCGCGTGTCGGCTTCTGGAAGGTATAAAGTCGATGTGCCTGGTCGCGACCCCCTGATACTGAAAGACCTGGTTTTGATCGACGGTGAGGATATGCAGCAACGTGGATCAACGGTTCAAGAAGGCTGGCCGCGCGAGGGGAAAGGGAAGAGGCTGAAGAAACGGATGGAACTGGATGAAGATTAGACGGAGTAATGATAAGAGCAGGTGGAGATATCAAGGGGGCCATAGTCCCAGGAGCTACTAGCTAGTAGCACCAGGAGAAACTGCGGAATAGGAGCAAAAGTAGAAGCTGGGGCTGGAGTGGGTTGAGAGAGGAAAACCATGCCATGCACATTCTGCCGCGATGCAGCAGTTCCTTCCTGACGGGTGGTGCGGTGCGGTGGGGCAGGATCACGCGGTCAGGCCTGCCTGACATGTGTGCTTTACGTGGTGGTGGCGGCAAGCATTTTCAAAGCACATCAGAGACAGGCGAGAGGAGGAACGATTCAGTAACGAGTCAGTAACCGCGGTATCCCTTCGCTGTAGCCCTTCGTAAAATACCCACCGTAGCGCGATTCACTATGGAAAATTAGTTTGGTACACATTTCTTAGCATGGCTGCACTCAGGCCGAGGATACCTTACGGATGTGCGAAGCTATTGTACAGTACACTTCTCAATAGAGAGGGGGATGCGCACCCTCGTGACAGCCCAAACGACCGCACATGACACGTCATTACACATCGTGCGGGAGTGCAGTCTCCCCGGAGCGCGACCATTGTGGACCATACAGGCTCGGCGGTAGCGTCCCCATCCCAGGTGAAAAGGAAAATCGTTCAAAACAAATTGGGAATAGAGAGTATGATTCGGCTAGTTTGGTGTGGTGTACAATGTTCGAATGCTGTATGGTGGGAAACGTTCACATTTACAAGTATACCTCGACATTCAAGGTCCAGTGAACCGCTTTCAAATATTCAGGGTGCACCCAAAGGTTGTTTCCAGCCGAACGCGTTCGCTCGCTCGCACCTCCCCAGAAAGTCAAATGAGCGCTCATCATCGCTCATCTGCGCCTCTTCACGTTGCAATGCAAGACAACGTGAAGAGTCGTATGGGGGTGACTGGCCGAGAGCGGCGATGTACCTGCACTCGGCGGCACTGCCCTGCATCACCTGTCTCACCTTGCACTCTGCATTATCTCCACATCCAAGCCGTTGTGGATAGTATCCACCTCATCGGTTCCTCATTTCCTCGCTTCCACAAACGAGCAGATGCATAGACATACCGTCTCTATCGCGAGATTCTTTTGGTCGCACTCGCCACAGCAACACATTCAATCTCGCCACCGCCGGAAAGCCTCGCTCTTGTAGCAGCAAGCGATCTGGTTACCATAATCGTCACCAGCATACTCGCACAGGCTCCATATGTTAGTCCCATTGATTACCAGGGGTGCTCTCAGCAACAGCGTTAACCGCGCGCGGTACAGTACTAGCAGCAATCTGAGCTGCGAAGTGGAACAAGCAGAGATTTATCCTCTTTATGCTTTGTGCAGCCCGCAATTCGGCGTGTCCCGGTGCTTCGAAACATTCAGCTTGTTCTCGTGTGCTACTATTGGAGCTAGTGGCGCGTGTAGGTCGGGGGCAAATCGCAACAACTGCTGTATGTAAGGACTGGTTCCTTCTACGCTCGTAGCGCTCTCGCCACGCCACCACCACCGCCACCGCCACCGCCACCGCCATTGCATCGGTCACGGCGGCAACGATGCTTCACGGTCTCTTCCTCGTGCCTCTCGTCGCCGCACTCGCGTGCCTTGCGCCGTGGACGGCCCTCGCGCAGTCGTCCGCGCAGCCCATCGCCATCGATCAGTCGCAGGGTGAGTCGTGCACGGGTCGCTCCTGCCACTCGGTCGACCCCAGTCGCCGCTGTGTCAGCACCCGTTAACCTTGTCGTTAAAACGATCGCCGCTGGTGTGGCCCTCTGCCATGCCGCGACACAGCCTGCAGCCCTGCGTTATAAACGCCGTCGGTGCTTCCCCCGCCCCCCATCAACCCTCGGCGTCCTCATCCGCTGCTCACCTGCCGTGCATGCACTAGCAACCCGCTGTGTGCCTCCCGTTCCCTCTCTGCGCCTCCGCCTGCTCCTCTCTTGCTCCTCTGCTCCTGCCCCTGCTCCTATCTGCGCCTCTCCTGATGCTTTGCTCACCAGAACGGTTTCTACAGCCTCTTGATCAGATCTATCTGTGCCGCTGTGGGTGGCTGGCTGGCAGGCCCGGTGCTGCAGCAGTTGAAAATCCCAGGCTGGCAGGTGGGGAGCGACTGCAACCAAGCGCAGATCACATGCGACTTAAACGGCATGATCACTTCCTTGTGCGTCCGCGCCCTGCTATGCCGTGCTGTGCTGTGCTGTGCTGTGCTGTGCTGTGCTGTGCTCTGCTCTGCTTTGGTGTGCTGCATCATGCTGCACTGCGGTGTGCTGTTACTCTGGCGCCACATTGGTGCTCCTTTAGAGGCATGGCTTTCAGTGAAGTATCCCCGCAAGAGCATCAGCATCCCGTGCTCGTTTTAGCTTCACATATCCTTGCCCAAGCCGCTGGCCGCATTGACCAGCATTGTGGATGTGTGGGTCCCCCACACACTCAGAACAGGCACTTCTCCCACACACTCCCCAGCGAACTCCCCTCACGAGTTCTCCCCACACTGTACCACACGAACCCATGGCAGCATGCCAATTCCTTCTAGAATGCACCACACGGCTGGGGAGTTGTGGGGTTTTTTTTTTCCATATCTTTATTCCCACACTTGTGTTCTTTGTGTTGGTATGTGGACAACTCTGTTTCTGCTGTGTGCGAGCTTCAAGTCGAGTGGGCTTTGTTGCATGTGTGTGCGCCCCGCTTCCTAAGGGTCCTAGGTCATGTGATTGCATGCAGTAAACACACAAAACTGCGCTTGGTTGGATCAATACGTGAGTGTGTGCGGGTGTGCATGTGCATGTTCATGTGCATGTGTCTGGTCATGGTCATGTGTGCAGATCAGTGGTCTGCCAGTCCTCTTCAACAGTGACTGTGACCCTTCCTTCCAGCATGTCCGACCTTTCTAAGCTCACCAGCCTGTAAGCCACACCTCGCGTCAGCAGCATGCATACAAGGCACACGCCGAGCAGCTGAAAAGAACGGTGCATGCTCGGTTCATCACCTGATGATGGATTGGCTGTTTGGCTGATTGGTTTACTTGTAGCTGGTCTGTGTGCATGAGATGAGATGAGGCTGGTGGTTCAGAACTTACACGAGTGACTAGTCCATCTGCTACAGCATGCCACAGCATGGCACGGCATGGGATGGCATGGCATGGCATGGCATGGCATGGCAAGGCATGATAGATATGGCATCGCGTAGAATGGCATGCCATGAAATGGAAGGTGTGGAATCAAGATGGACGATGTTCGGGACTGCATGGTGATGCGTGGGCATGTGTGAGCATGCATGGTGATGCGTGGGCATGTGTGAGCATGTATGGTGATGCGGGGCATGCATGCGTCGTGATGCATGGTGAGGTGATGCACGGTGTGGTGATGCACTGTGATGATACACGGTGCGGTGATGCACTGTGATGCATGCATAGAGCAGGCATTGCAGCACCCTTTCACACTGCTCTGTGTATCTATTGTCCATCATGCTGACACGAGCAGGCATTTGGAGAGCTGTGGCCTGGGCACCAATCCAGAAAGTCTCACGACGCTGAATAGTTTGGCCAGCCTTGTGGACCTGTGAGCCTGCCCCCACGCATTCCCAACACACCCTTCTCCCACACCCTTCTCCCACACCCTTCTCCCACACCCTTCTCCCACACCCTTCTCCCACACCCTTCTCCCACACACTTCCCCCACACACTTCCCCCACACACTTCCCCCACACACTTCCCCCACACACTTCCCCCACACACTTTCCCCACCCACTTCCCCCACACACTTCCCCCTCTATTCACGAGCTCTCCCTCCACAAGCTCTCCCTCCATGAGCTCTCACCCACGGGCCGCAGCAGCATGCTAGTTCCTTCTTGATTGCACAGTGCACCACAGCCAGGCTATGCACGTGTTCTCTGCTCTGCAGCTTCCCCTTGATGATGATGATGATGATGATGATGATGATGATGATGATGATGATGATGATGATGATGATGATGATGATGATGATGATGATGATGATGATGATGATGATGATGATGATGATGATGATGATGATGATGATGATGATGATGATGATGATGATGATGATGATGATGATGATGACGATGATGAGGATGATGAGGATGATGAGGATGATGAGGATGATGAGGATGATGAGGATGATGAGGATGATGAGGATGATGAGGATGATGAGGATGATGAGGATGATGAGGATGATGAGGATGATGAGGATGATGAGGATGATGAGGATGATGAGGATGATGAGGATGATGAGCCTGATGAGCATGATGAGCATGATGACGATGATGACGATGATGACGATGATGATGACGACGATGACGACGACGACAATGATGAGCTGTCTGTTGTTGCCTCACTCCGTGTACTCCTGTGCAGGGCCCTGCCGGCCAACGGGATAACAAGCCTTCAGCCTTTGGCAAAAGCTGACTACAGCGATTTGCAAACCCTGTATGGCGCCTCTTTTTCTCTACGTTTGGCAATACTGCATGGCTCTTGACTGCATGGGGCATGGCTCTGACGGCATGGGGCATGCTCTGACGGCATGGGGCATGGCCGTGATTGCATGGCGTGTGGGTGGCTGTGTCTGCATGGTGTGGTGTGTGACTGCATGGTGTGTGCATGGTGTGTGCATGGTGTGTGCATGGTGTGTGGGTATATGTGCGGCTAGAGGCGTACGTTGGTATACTCCAGTGCTCCGCACTGTAATTCCTTCCCTATACAACCACCCTGTGCTGCCTTTGCCGGCACTCTCCTTTCACCCTTTCACCCACACCCTCCCACACCACACCCTTCCACTGCCAGACCCCCATCACTCTCTCACAAACTCTCTTGTTCTCCCACATGCCCCCATCTGCTCTCTCCCGCTCTTACCCGCCCGCCGTTGGCTCTGCCCTGTGCAAGCCTCACAATGCACACAGTCCACTGCAGCCTATCAGCTAATCCACTGCTGCTCGTGCTCTTCCCCACACAGCCTGACATCCCAAACCCCTCACAAGATCTCACATATGTTGTCTCTTTCCTTCTCCTCTCCCCTCTGCGAGTGGCAGGAACCTGAAGTCCAATCCCTTAGGGACAGATGGGCTCATGGATTTTGGCAAGTTCAGTACTCTTGCATCGCTGTGAGTGAGAGGGCAGAGCGCCGAGGGCAGAGGAACCACATGGTGATGGTAATGGTGTTTTACTCACCCTAACTGCCTCAATTGGACGTTGCGTCATGCGCCTTCATTCCTAACGCGTTTGTGTGCCATGCTTTGTGTGTCTGTGTGTGTGCGCGCGTGCGCGCGCGCGCGTGCGTGCGTGTGTGTGTTGCTCCTTGCCGCACGCGCGTTGCTTTGTGCATTGCTGTGTGTGCTTCTCTGTGTGCATGCGTTGCGTGTTTGTGCCGCATCTGCATTCCTGTGCCATGTGCTGCATGATGTATGCGATAACAGGGATCTGTCAGGATGTCAGCTGTCGAAAGATCACCTTCTCAATGATCTATACTCGCCCAGCATGCTATACCTGTGAGTCCGTCCGTCCTTACGATAAGCCTCATCCTTACAATCAGCCACATCCTGCTTATGGGTTAGCTTGTGAGAGTGCTCAAGAGTGAACACGCCACCCATGAGCAATACCGTGAGTCGTTCCCCTAAGCACAGTAAAATAAGAGGGCCCAAGTGTTTTCCTGTGAATCCTGCTCGGCTGTAGTAAGAGCATGAGCGTATGCATCTCTGCCTCTATATCCCATGATTGCACGTCTGTTTCGAGCTGTGAACGCTCCCCATGCCGACCTGTCATCCCCCGTCCTGACATCTCCTATCCTGTCATCTCCCGTCCTGTCATCTCCCATCCTGTCATCTCCCATCCTGTCATCTCCCATCCTGTCATCTCCCATCCTGTCATCTCCCATCCTGTCATCTCCCATCCTGTCATCTCCCGTCCTGTCATCTCCCATCCTGTCATCTCCCATCCTGTCATCTCCCATCCTGTCATCTCCATCCTGTCATCTCCCATCCTGTCATTGTTCAATGCCTCTGCCCCCCACCCACCTTGTGTGCATGACTGAAGGAATGTGGCCAATAATAACCTCGCAGGCCTTATCCCTGATAACCCCGCATCCATGACTACTTTGACTTACCTGTGAGTCTCCTGGTCCTTCGTTTCCCCGCCTTGCCTCTTCCCCTCGTCTACTCCCTTTCCCTCGTCTCCTCTCTTTCCCTCGTCTCCTCTCTTTCCCTCGTCTCCTCTCTTTCCCATGCTTCCTCTCTTTCCCTCGTCTCCTCTCTTTCCCATGCTTCCTCTCTTCTCTCATCTCCTCTCTTCACCTCGCCTCCTCTCTTTCCCATGCTTCCTCTCTTTCCCTCATCTCCTCTCTTCACCTCGCCTCCTCCCCTCGTCTCCTCTCTTTTCCTCGTCTCCACTTCCAACTAACGTCTCATTTCTTTGCCTCTAATTCTAGTGACCCTCGGACATGGCCATACTTGCTTACCATCGGCTTCAAAGTGAGAGACATCTCAGAGCGTTTTCTTGGTCCCCGGCGGACTCTGCACACGGGAATGCTTCTGACCATGTCCAATCTTGAGGGGAATGCTTCTCACGTCCCATCCCTGTTCTTCCATGTTGTGTCTCATGGGCCTTCCATGCATGGGACACAGGGATGTGAGCTTCAACCTCCTCCAAGGAACCCTCTCACCGTTATATGGAAGCCTCACCAATCTAAAAACGTTGTAAGTGCTGTCAACTCTGATCTGCATGTGCAGGGCACATAAGCCACATGTCTGTTGGCTTGGGTGTGAAGGTTCTTGATTTGAGAATCTCAAGACGTGGGAAGGAACTCTACCTTCCGTTCGTACCTCTCCCTTTTCGCCCTCCCCATGCAGAGCCATCAGTGGCACGGGTATCACGTGCCCTGACAGCTACAGCAGCTGCGGCGGTGTGCCTCAGGACGTGAACTCTGCCTTCTGCCGCATCTGCTCCGACTTCTGCGCCACATGTGAGTTCCGCTCTTGACTGGGAGGGAGCGGGGAAAAGAGCAGAGGTGGGTGTTTCTTTCCAAGCACCTGACTCTGATCTGTGCTCTCTTGGGGTTTCATTAGCCACTTCTGGATCCCCTCTTCTGCTGTGCATCACCCTTTTCTGCTGTGCATCACCCTCTTCTGCTGTGCATCACCCTCTTCTGCTGTGCATCTGCTTGTTTTGCCCATGGTTTACTGTTAACCTGTGTGAATCCCCTTTCATTATACCAGGTGACAAACCAAAGCCTCTTCCTGTGGGCGCCATTATTGGGATCGTGGTTGGCGCTATTGTTGTGATTGTGCTCGTTGCTTTTCTCCTTTACTACTTCTGCTTCATGAGAGGCCAACGTAAAGGTGCGTGCGTCTTAAATCACACTGTTGAATGCATTCTTTGTTTTTTTTTTTAAGGTCTCAAAAAACGCATTCAGCCTGGTGTCGTTGTAACTGTGCTCTTTGTCCTCCACCTCTACCACTTCTGCTTCATAAGAGGCCAATGCAAATGTTCCCACCTCACACTGTTTCACTCCCCACACCTCACAGTTGCACCCCACACTCACGTCCCAACCTCACAACCCACACTCACACCCCACTCACATCCCACTCTCACACCCCACTCACATCCCACTCTCACACCCCACTCACACCCCACACTCACACCCCACATTCACTCCTCACAGTAACTCCTCACACTCGCACCCCACACTCACACCCCACACTCACATCCCACACTCACACCCCACTCACACCTCACACTCGCACCCCACTCACACCCCACACTCACACCCCACATTCACTCCTCACATTTACTCCTCAGACTCACACCCCACGCTCACACCCCACACTCACAGCCCACACTCACACCCCACACTCATGCCTCGCACTGCTTTGCTTGCCTGGAACGTCATAAAGGGTCATGTGGCTGCCTTGGTGTTGGCTCACTCAGCGGCCATGACGATTGCCTGATGCTCTCTTCGTTCCTCTTCCGATCACCTCCCACATCTCCTCCTCCCCACAGCGCTGGTGAGCAGCAAGGCGGCAGTGCAGGTGTGTCAGGAGTATGCACTGGCAGCGGTGGCGAAAGCGACTAACGGGTGGTCTGAGGCCAACCTGCTGGGCGCGGGGGCCTATGGTGATGTGTACCGCGGCGTCTCTCCCACCGATGGTGCCACGCCGTGGGCCGTGAAGCGAGCCAAGATCATCACCAACGATTTTGACACCGAGGTGCGTGACCGTGACGTGGTGTGATGTGGTGTGGTGTGGTGTGGTGTGGTGTGGTGTGGTGTGGTGCGGTGTGGTGTGGTGTGGTGTGGTGTGGTGTGGTGTGGTGTGGTGGGATGTGATCCGTTTTGAAGCACACTCTTCTCAAAGAATGGCCATAGCTTCTAGCACATGCACGTCACTGGCACTGGGCAGAAATATTGTATGTTTCGGCACCACTACGGTGCAGTGCATCAGAGTGTTGGATTCACCTTTGAGAAATTCCAAAAGTGGTTTCAACATACCTGCGTAGGAAATTGCATGTTCAGGCGTAAACATGGAGTTACATTCAGATGGAGCATCAGAGTGCGTTACATTCGTTCACAAGCGTGCCAGATGGTCCTTCTTGTTGAACCGTCTTGTTCACAAGTGTTGCCATGCCATTGTTGTAGCCAGGTGTGTATCGGGTACATCAATGGACGGTGTTTGTCATGGGGCTGGCCGGCCATTGCCCCTGCCTGACACGTGTGTGAGACGGCTGCCAAGTCGTGTCAGATAGATCTTTATATTGAGTTCTATTTGGCTCACGCCATTGTTCGCCCTTTGGCAGGTGTGTGAGATGGCGACAAAGCAGTGTCAGATAGATCATCAGATTGTGTTTTATTGGCCCCACCGCCATGCCTGGCAGGTGTGTGAGATGGAAACGAAGCAGTGTCTTACTTTGTGTTGAACTGGGCCCCTTGTCCCCCCTGGCAGGTGTGTGAGATGGCAACGAAGCACCACCCCAACCTCGTGCGGCTGCTGGGCTTCTCCGTTGGGATTACCGCCAAGACAAGGGTGGAGCAAATCCTTATCTACGAGTTCATGCCCAACGGAGATCTCTCGCAATGGATCGGGAAAGGTGTGCATTCTGCAATGGATGCGGGGGGTAGTGTAGCTGCAGGTTGCTCTCGCACAAGCTAAGGAATGATGCGGGGGGTAGTGTGGTCGGTGGATACTGGGTCCTTTGCACTGGATTGAATGAGGTGTGCATTCTATCAGTGTGCGTGCGGTGCTCTGGGACTGTAAGTGCTTCGGAAACAAGAGATGTGTTCAGGCTCAAAGGACCCCACTGGTCTGGCCTTGCAGGTATTCCTCTTCATACCGGTCACTTGCCTCCTTCTAAAGCTTCCCCCTCTCCACTCCACCCCTATGTTCCTATTCCGTGTGCGCTGCAGAGGCAACATTTGAGTCGACTCAAAAACCACCCCTCTGAGTGATTTTTGAGAATTCTTAAAAATCACTTGCAACAACTTTTGAGTCGACTCAAAAGCCACCCCTATGCTCCTATTCCGTGTGCGCTGCAGAGGCAGCAACGCCGCTGAGCTTTGAGCAGCGGGTGGGCGTGCTGGTGGGGGCGGCACGCGGCTTTGAGTATCTCCACAGCTTCGGCATCGTTCACCGCGACATCAAGCCCGCCAACATCCTGCTCAATCAAAACATGCAGGCAAGCAGGAATTTCTCACTCACTTTCTCATGCTATGCATCTTGCTTGGTGTCACTTTTAAGTCCTCAGAAAAATGATTCCAAAAATCGTTGGATCTCAAAGTCTCACTGGCGTTGCTGCCAGGATGCATGCACTCAAGTGCGCACACCTGCATTCAACGATGCAAGAGATGATAAAACAAATCTATACCCTGCTCTCAATCACTTTTGCAAACTGTACCGTAGTACTTCCTCTGCCTGCTCGTTGTCGTCCATGTGCGAGTGCATGCATGCTAAGATGTGTCATCTTCTATGCATGGGTGCAGGCTAAGATCTCCGACTTTGGGCTTGTGAGGAAGGGAGATGGCAACTCAGCGCAAAGTACGCGAGTGGTGGGAACACCGGGCTATGTGGACCCCTCCTATTCGGCATCCAACAGGGCCACCACTGCCACTGATGTCTACAGGTAAACAAGGGCCTTCAGAATCTGTTCAAGGCGTAGATACGTCTAATTGCATCGAGTTTCTTTCAAGCTGAAGCTTTTCATACGGATACTTGCCTTGGCACTTGCACTGTGTGCCTGGACGTGCAGCTTTGGCATTGTTATTCTTGAGGTGATGACGGGCCGACCGGCCATTGAAGAGTCTCTTGCCATCGTCTCGGATGAAGAAACGACTCAATCAAAGAACATTCTGACGTCGGTGAGTTATCAAGTTAACATCTCAGTCATGGAGTGTGAACATTTCGCTCCCTTTCTTCAGACTGCCTCATTGTCTTGTATTTTGTTCTCTTCCACGCTTCCCAACCGCACCTCCCTGCAATCGCTTTGGAATTCCTTCTTACCAGGTAACGCAGCAGCTCGATCAGTCTGGCGATGTGCTGGGGCCAGGTCTCAAGGACCCGCGCATTGAGGCACAGGATGATCTCGTTCTCAGGGTGCTGCAGCTGGCGCTGCGATGCACTGCCAAGCGCTCCGCCACGCGGCCAGGTATGGGGGCGATTGCAGCGGAGCTGGAGGGGGTTTTGGCAGAACTGATCGGGTCAAAGAGGAACGCAGCAGCCGAGGAGGTGGACAAGCAGATTCTGGACTTGACACCTTCCGCAGATATCGAAAAGCAGTTAGCTCGCCTGGACGCTGCATTTGAAGAAAGAGAAGGTGTCGTGTAAGCTTGGCTGGAGGCTCTTGTGAAGCTTGTTGTGTTGCCTGCAATACATGTGTAGGAATGAGGTACGGTATTATTCGAGTGGAGCTATCATTGCAGCAAGTACCTTATGTCGCTATGCTGTGCAATTCCGCATGTAATGAACATAAAGCGTAAAATGGTCCTTTCTGCTAAGCTCTGACTGACTGCAAGGAGAAATGGACACCGAGTTTTTCACACACCAGTTTTACCGTATAACTTTGTAGCATGCAATGACATCACAGTACCATGCACCTCAAGATCATTACTCTCATCATCACTAGACGCCTGCTCCTCCCCCTTCCTCATCCAGCTGCTCCTTCCTGCATCCGCAACTGTCAGGGCCTCAGATTGGTTTCAGGGTACCCTGACCTATCAGGGCTGTATCCTAAAATATAAAACTTTATCCTGAGGCTTCAGCGCTGGATGTAATGGTTTCCCTGATTTTTCAGGGCTAAATTAAGTTTCATGATTAAGAATGGAAATATCAGCACGGCAGCTCGGTCATGGCCTAGTTGTTTGAATCTGCGAATTGTCACAGTGGAAGTATGGAGATCGATTCCCGCTTGCGTCGCGCATAGCGGACTATGTGAACGAACGGGATTTTCTTGTTATAAGACATTTCTGTGCTACTGTTCAGTGTTACAGGTACACCTTTATCTTAATTCCTCAGTGTAGGATACAGCCTAATACTGAAAGTTCAGGGCTGTATTTTATGTTATCCTGATTTTCCAGCACTGGCACCCCAACTCTATCCTGAAATCAGGGTAATCAGGATAATTTATCCTGATATCTGAGGGCCTGGCAACTGTGTACATACGGCAAGTCCATCATTGCAAGGTTCATACCTAGGATCTTTCACCTAGGGAGTTTGATGTGAGTTTGGATAATCGGGCATTGTGTCAGAATCCCAGCCACTAACCACTGGGATAAAAGGGCTTGTTTGTGTAGCGGGTGAGTGCGCCCATAACCCCCCAGGCCGCCGTGCCTGTAACCCTTCCCTAGGATCAATCGGGGATCACCAGTGGACCTCTGACACCCCCCCGCACTGGGATGCCCGAGGTGCACACACCGGGATTCGAACCCGAGACCTTCGCTCTGATACCATGTCAGAATCCCAGCCACTAACCACTGGGATAAAAGGGCTTGTTTGTGTAGCGGGTGAGTGCGCCCATAACCCCCCAGGCCGCCGTGCCTGTAACCCTTCCCTAGGATCAATCGGGGATCACCAGTGGACCTCTGACACATTGCAATGGCGCTAATTGGGCATTGCAGAACCTTCTTTTGCACTTGACCATGCTCAAGGGCAATACAACGACCTGTCAAAACTGATTTATATTTTTGTAGGCTGTAGTGGGGTAGCCCATATAGAGTACAACATTTTTAGGGTTTGGTACTTGTACTCCTCATTCTTTGCTAGTGAACTCATTCCTGTGTGTTAGTTTCTGACATGGTTTCAGAGCAGTAGGTCCGTAGGACCGTTTTTTTTTTTTTTTTGGTTGCAAAGCAACCCTTTACGATCGATTTTGCCAAATTTTATTTTCATGTTTATATTTTTTGTTAAAACATGAAAATAAAATTTGCAAACTACAGTAATACCCTTCCCATACTGTATGCATGTTAAGCAGTCTTGACTACGGTACTGTTCACAGTGTATTAGACCATATGATTTTTTTGCAGTTGTTTAGTGCAGATTTGCTGTACTGTTTGCATTACCGTATATGTTTTACTGTTGAATGGTGTTGTGTGATAATAAATTGATGCATGCACAATGCATAAATGATGCTATACAATGCATAATGCATAAATAATGCTATATAATGCGTGTGATATATCATGAATGATGCGCATGCACATGGTAAAATGCGTGACAGTTAAAAACCCAAAAACTAAGCTACCGCCATCCCCTGCCTAGCATGGGGGGGAGGTAAATAGCTTAGCTTTTGAATAATCAACTACCACATGAAACAACACAATCTGTGAAATCTTAAAAAAAAAAAAGTCATCTCTATCAAATCCAGTTCGAAGTGGTCGCACACGAGTCACTGAGTGCGCCAATGAACCTTTTGTGAAATGATAGATTTGAGATTTCTTTTTAAAGATCAAAGACGTGCGTTGTTATTGCAATGGATACGGATGAATGCACACAGCCACAGCACACACACACATACAAACACATATACAAGATCACACACATTCACACAAACGGAAAAAAAAACCGTAAATGCAAAAAACTCTAAAAACAACAAAACATGCAATACAAAACAATCCTACAGATTACCACTACTATCCACTTCACAAGTAATCTTGGCAGATGTACACATCTGGAACGAAAGCCAGAAGGAAATCTGGAAAAACAAATAGGCACCGAATGAAGGAGAGGGAAAGAAGGAAGGCGGGAGAGAAGAAAAGAATTATCAAAATGTGGAGAAAATTGAAAAGAAAGTAAGTCAAATGAGGAGAATATTATAATAACCAAACAGAATGCAATCTAATGGTTGTAAGGTAAAAAAATGATGAACAACGCTATACGTTAAAAAACAGAACGCAAAAAACAGAGCAAGTAACAAAACAGGAAACAACGATATACCTTAGCTGTGAATTTCACAGAGAGAGAACGAGAGAGAAAGAGAGAGAGAGAGAGAGAGAGAGAAGAGAGAGAGAGAGAGAGAGAGAGAGAGAGAGAGAGAGAGAGAGAGAGAGAAAGAGAGAGAGAGAGAGAGAGAGAGAGAAGAGAGAGAGAGAGAGAGAGAGAGAGAGAGAGAGAGAAGAGAGAACGAGAGAAAAAGAAAACGAGAGAGAAAGAGAGAACGAGAGAGAGATAGAGATAGAGAGATAAGAAAGAGAGAGACAGAAAACGAGAGAGATAGAACGAGAGAAGAACGAGAGAAGAGGAGAGACAACAAGAGAGACACGAGAGATCGCTAGAACGCAGAGAGAGAGAGGAGAGAGAAGAGAGAAAGAAAGAACGAGAAGATAGAGAGAAGAGAGAGAGAGAGAGAGAGAGAGAGAGTCTCTCTCTCTCTCTGCTCTTCTCTCTCTAGAGAGAGAGAGAGAGATCTATCTCGATGCTCGAGAAAATCTAGAAAATAGAGTATGCACGAAAACTACGACGAGTAAGAAAACGGCTACGTTACTGAGCAATGAGGTGGAAATCAAAGTTGAGAAAACGAAATAACGACGAGAAAAACAAAAAGTGTCATAGCTGGAAAACGAAATTGAAGGGAACTATATCGCGACAACTATATACTTGAGCTGACGAAGATGCAATCTAGGGAAAAAACGAACATACCAGTGTGTCTAGGAGAGAAGACAAGCAAGAACTAGCGTCTGCTGCTGGGGAGAGTAAGCGAGCAAGAGGAAGCAGCGAGAAAAAAAGGGAAGAAATGAATCCATAGGGAATGCAAACTTCGTCGCATTGATACTTCACGTGACGTTAAAACGCGCGAACCGATACGGGGCATGTAGCTCAGTCGATTGAATGTCAACTAAGATCCGAATGTTCTTAGGTTCGAATCTCTTGGACATCACCTTACCAAGAACTTATATTAGCGATTGTTTTTCCAATTTGAAAAAGCTTCGCAACCCTACGATGACTTCCGTCGCCTCTTGTTTTTGTTTTTTTTTTTTCGGGCCCACCATCAACTGTTGTTACCGTGATACCTCACGCCCTGCCCTGCGTTGCGCCGCCCCGCGCACGCTCTGCTTTGCCCTGCCCTGCGTTGCGCAGCCCCGCGCACGCCCTGCCCTGCCCTACGCTGCGCCGCCGCGTGCAGCCCGCGCGTCGCCCGCCTACAGCCCGCGCGGCCAGCGCCCTGCCTCTGCCTGCCCGCGCGCTGCCCCCGCAGGCCCGCGCGCCGCCCGTCTGCAGCATGCGCGGCCCGCGCGCCGCCCGCGTGCAGCCCGCGCGGCCCGCGCACTGCCCCCGCAGCCCGCGCGGAGCCCCTGCCGGCTCTCGCGCCGCTCGTCTGCAGCCCGCGCGCTGCCCCCCGCGGCCTGCGAGCCGCCTTTGCCCGCCCGCATGCAGCCCCTGCTGCCCCGCGCGCTGCCATTGCCGCCTGCGTGCTGCCTCTGCCTGCCCGCGCGCCGCCTCTGCTGCCCGCGCGCCACCTCTGCTGCCCCCGCACCGTCTCTGCTGCCCGCGCGCCGCCTTTGCTGCTTACGTGCCATCTCTTCTGCCCGCGCGCCACTGCTGCCTGCCCGTGCCCCACGCTGCAGCTATGGCTATGCTCAACGTCCTCTCGTTCGAACCTGACGGCCGCCCGATAGAGTTCGCCATGTGGCTCGATGACCTACAGCTGTACCTCATGACCGATGCTAAAGACGGCGTTTCCCTGTTTGACCATGCGTCTGGCTCTTCGGTCGCTCCTTCTGACACAGTTGACAGCCTCACTCGTTCACAGTGGCAGACCCGTGACGCTGCTGCTCGCCTAGCTATTCGCAACCATCTGCCGTTAGCTGAACGTGCTCACTTCGGCCAGCACAAGACAGCTAAGGACCTGTATGCCGCTGTAGTCGCTCGCTACTCTTCCCTGCCACTGCTGCTCTCAGCCGCCTTATCCTGCCCTACCTGTTCCCAGAGCTGTCCTCCTTTGCCACAGTTGAGGACCTCATCACCCACCTTCGCGCTAGTGACGTTCGCTACCGCGCCGCTCTCCCAACCAAGTTCTTAGCAGCGAACCCGCCCCCGATGTACATCAAGCTCTACTTCCTAGTCACCCGCCTCCATGACTCTCTTCGTACAGTCAGGGACCACTTTCTCGCTCTAGACCCTACCGCCCTCACTGTCGACGACTTTGAAAAGCACCTCCTTGCAGCAGAGAAGAGCATTGCCGCTATAGGTGCTGCTCGTGGCACTCCTCGCACTCCCCTCTTTGAGGGGTGCTCCCCCTCCCCCCTTGCCCCCTCTTACGCTTCCTTGGTGTTGAGGAGGTCGGCGCTGCTTCTGCTCCTAGTGGGAAGCGCCGCAGCAGCAAGGGCAAGGGA